AAAAAAAAAAAAAAAAAAAAGGGGGGGGGGGCGGCTGCAGGGCGCCCGGCGCGCACCCAGCGGGGACCCTGCGGGCTGCGGGCGGGCGGGCCCCGTCCAGGTATTTCACCGCAGTCAGGGAGCCAATCAGCGCGCCCCGCACCTGTTCCGCGCGCCCCGGGCCCGGGGCCACCCCCGGACGGGAGCGCGCGAGGGGCTTCCCGCAGGGGGCGCCGCAGGGGCGGGGCCCGCGCGCCCACACCCACCCACGCAGGTTAGAAACGCGCCCAAACTCCGTTTCTAACGTCATGTTCGCGTGACTCTTTCCAAAAGGCTTTCCTCGCCTCCTCACCTCTGGCTCCCGCCTGCTCCCCCAACGAAAGCAATTAAGATTCCGCCTAGAATTGGCCAGATTTTTATTTGCTGAAAAACAGCCCAACGTGCGTTGAGAGAGAGAGAGAGAGGATTTGGGGCGGCGGGGGAGGCTCGAGCTTCCGGGACCCCTCGCCCCCTCCCGCGACCCTCCGCGCCGCCGCCGCCGGCGGCCAGGGGTCCGCGGGCACCGTTTGAACACTGCGGACGGCGGCGCGCAACCGAGTTCCCGGGACGGGAGGCGGGGGGGGTGGGGGGGCGCCCTGGGGTACCTGGCGACGCTGGAGGGCCGGCTGGGGGAGGGGCGGCGCGGGCGGGGCGGGGCGGGGGCGCAGCGCGGCGGCTCGGCGGGCACCGCGCTCAGCTCGGCGGCGGCGCGGCGCTGCCGCGGTTCCGCCGCTGCCGTTGCCTCCGCGGGCCTCCCTCGCCCCGGGGGACGGACTTGTTACTTCCCACCGTTTCCATAGCAACTGCAGCCACGCGCCGGGCGGAGTCCGCGGACCGGTCGGTGCGCGCGCCCCGGCGAGCCCCCTGGGCTTTGCCCGCAGGCTCCGCAGGGAGCGTGGAGAGCTGAGGGTTTGGGGCGGGGGTAGGGGGTGAAGTCTGGGTTATCTGGAGGTCGTGCCCCGAATGGACGCCTACTGTGTACCAGGCGCTATGCTGAAAGCTGGTGGTACGCGGGAAAGGGGACAACCTGAGATGTTTCCAGTGCCTACCACCTCCTAACTTTAGAAGGCGAAGGGGGGGGGGTGGGGGGCAAACCATGAGGGACCCTTGAATGATAAGAACAAACTGAGGACTGATGGGGTGTGGGGGGGAGGGGGGAGATGGGCGTGGAGGAGGGCACTTGTGGGGATGAGCGNGGGGGGGAGGGGGGAGATGGGCGTGGAGGAGGGCACTTGTGGGGATGAGCGCCGGGTGTTATATGGAAACCAACTTGACAATAAACTATTTGTAAAAAAAAAAATAAAAATTGAAATTAAAAAATAAAATGAAGAATCTTTATTTGCTTTAAAAAAAAAAAAAAACGACTAAGTGGCTAAACAGCTGTCTGTGCCCAAGACCCCACATCCATGCTGTTCGCGTAGATTGCGCCAGTGCCTGGGTACGAGAGGGGAGGGGAGCTTTAAGAACTTTAGGGAAGAGGTGTTGTCCAGGCTGCTCTGGGACATGTGGATTGTGGGACCAGGAAAATTCTGTTTAAAACGTTGACATCTTCCAGCTCATTGCTGCCAGGATTCCCTTTATTCCTCCTAAGCTCTTGCTGCGACCTCATTACTGCCTGTTCCTCTGGCCTCTTATATGAATAAAAGTAATTCTGATAATAACTACCATTAATTGAATGTTTGCCTGTAGCAGGCACTGTGTTGGGGGCTTTACGTAAACTGCCTAATGTTCACTATAACCTGCAGAAGCAAGTTTTAGTCTTTACTCAGATGAGGAAACGGAGAGGTCGAGAAACCAAAGAAACTTACCTCAGGTCACACACAAAAATTCGAACCTAGTTCTCTGTGACTCCAGAACTACTTTGACCACCGTGTCATGTTAATCTTAAAAGTGAATGTGTAAAACATTGCAGTTTGGAGCAGAAACATTTTTATTACAGTTACCTAATACATTAATTCCTTGGAAGTTAACACTTTTTCTTTTTTTCTTTTTCTTTTTTTTCGTTTTCAATTTTTTCTTTAAGAGAGAAAGAGAGCGTGAGTAGGGGAGAGGCAGAGGGTGAAAGAGAGAATCCCAAGCAGGCTTCATGCTCAGGAAGGAGCCCATCAAGGGGCTGGATCCCATGACTCTGGGATCATGACCTGAGCCAAAATAAGGGTCGGAGGCTCAACCATCTGAGCCACCCAGGCACCCCGAAACTTAACAGTTTGCAAAAGAAGACCAAAGTCAAGGGAATAATGCAGAGAAAAAAAGAAAGGAATTCTGAGAACCAGTTGTAAAGAATGTGCAAGTTGCGGGAATGAGCAGGGAAAATATCTGTGCAAACATGCTACCAAGCGAGCGAGAAAGACAGAATGCCTGTCTTACCTAAGGGGTGCAGGGCAGTAAACCAAGCAACCCTTGAGCCCCCCAGACCTCTCTACTGCCTGGACCAGCCCGGTGCAAAATGAAAACCCGTCACCCCTTGTTCAAAAAATAAGAATATCAGGATGGCAATAGCAAAGCAGTAAAGCAAACACAAGGATGTTTCTAAGTGTGGGGCATTGTTGTAAGTCTGTAAAGCCATCCCACATCTACATTCTGGTTCCTTCCACAACAGTATCCCCAGCGCAGATTTGTCTCCTGGGCCCAGGCTTATTTCTCCAGCTGCCTCTTAGTGATGTGGTGACAAGTATTTAGCTACTGGCTACTGGGGAGGGGAAGGCCTAGATTCATAACTTTTGCCAATGTTTGTGGTTTAAATACTGCAAATGTGGCTGGTTTCCAGCTACCAGTTGTGGTCACTGAAGGCAAGAGATGCACAGTGGCAGGCCATGATTTGGTATTTCCACCATATCATTTTTTTTTTAAATGTTTTTATTTATTTCTAGGAGAGAGAGAGAGACAGCGTGAGCAGGGGAGGGTCAGAGAGAGAGGGAGTCACAGACTGAAACAGGCTCCAGGCTCCGAGCTGGCAGTCAGCACAGAGCCCGACGCGGGGCTCGAACCCACGAACCGCGAGATCATGACCCAAGCGAAAGTCGGACGCTCAACCGACTAAGCCACCCAGGCGCCCCAATTTCCACCATATCATTATAGTAGACATGGAACTTCATAGATAATAGTAAAATCTAGGTGGTGATGAATTTTGAGCATTTGTTACCTTTGTGTTTAATACAATTTATTTAACTGTACACTTATATGACTTAATTTTTTTAGTGGCTCTGTTTCAAACTTTTGAAAATTGAACAACTGCCTCTCACAAGGCAGTACAAGGTGGCTCTCAGCACACTGTGCTCCTAAACAGCTACCCTGTGCTATCAAAAGGCAGCCTAGACTCAACACATTCACACGATCTCATGTTTTCACCACCACCTCTTTTCCTATTGTCTCTGTCTCCATAAATGGACCCTCGTCTACTCATCTGAACACACACGTCTCTTCTTCACAGAATGTGTTTAACTGCAGAGACGCAACACAGTCACCTGTACAGTCTCTCTGCTCCTTCTGTTTGTTGAATCGTTTGGGAGCTGTTCTCTCTTACAGAGAAACCCAAAACTGAGCCAAGGGAGGATTTCAGAAGGCACAAAGTTTACAGAACCCCCCCGATCACGAAGAGCTGAGGTGGAATGAGAAGCCACTTCGGATGGGTGCTGGGGAATGTTCTAGCAGTCATGCACAGAGAGAGGAGACTTTTGTTTCTATGCTGCTTCCGAAGTATGACAAAGATACTGAGAGTGAGAGGTGGCAAATGAGATTCTTAAAGAAGTTTGTGCACTTAAAATATTATCAAAAAGTTATTTGGCGTTTCCTCAAGAGCCTGAATAAATCTCTGAAATGGTTCCCGTTCTATCTAACTGTGGAAATAATAATTATGTCCAGGTAGAGGCGCCTGGGTGGCTCAGTCGGTTGAGCGTCCGATCCTTGATTTTGGCTCAGGTCATGATCCCACAGTCACAGGATTGAGCCCCAGGTTCAGTTCCTCACTGACTCTGGAAGCTGCTTAGGATTCTCTCTCTCTCTCTCTCTCTCTCTCTCTCTCTCTTTCTCTCTCTGCCCCTTCTCCACTCATGTGCACACACACGGGTGCATGCAGACAGGTGCACACTCTCTCTGTCACTCTGAAATGAAATTTTAAGGGGGAGCCTGGTTGGCTCAGTTAAGAGTCAGTCTCAGAAAGAGCAACAACTTCAGCTTCTTGAGACTGTGTTTCTTGGACACGCATTTGAATAATGTGGCTGCTTCTGATAAGCCCTGAATTCCTCTGTCCTGTTAACTCAACTGATTTCAGTAATGACTGAACACTTCTTCATGTCCATGTACTGGGCTGCCTGCACAGGTGGCTGTGTCTAAAGTGCCCAAAAGTGTAAGAGGGAGCAGCCTTATCTCCTACTCACAGCCAAATCATGTAGATTCTGCTTAACGTGCTCTAAGCCTTCTGCTTCTCATGTTAGTCACTCACCCTACCCAGGTTTAGAGCTTCTAAGAATGCTTGCTGTATACATTGCCACATATTTAAGGAGTTATGAGTAATAAAAAATAATCGTTTCCTACTTTAGTTGATTTATTGCCATTTAGAGTGTAAGATGAGTAATCACAGTCTCCTGAAACAGTAAACTTGAACCTTCATGTTTTATATAGCTTCCTGTCATAAAGCAAACCCCAAAGAAACCTATAGCAATTTATTTTTAAATGCTACATGAACCAAATGTCACATTCTTCTGTTACTATTTTCTTCTTCTGAAAAACATAACGATTTTCATGGCAAAAGGTGTAATATCAGTGAAAAACTGCAGTTCCTTAGGGGGTAGGTGCGAGCCCCACAATGAAATGGCAAGTTTTAGAGGCAGAGAGAAGTTGAGAGAATGTGCACAGAGGGCTTCTATCCTCTCTGAACTGCAGAAGGATATATTATCTTGCCGGAATCTTCCAGCATTTAGCATCATGGTAAAGACAGGTGTTACATAAATATTTGTTAACTGCACTAACCCGAGAGTTCAGGGTGATGCAGACGTGAAGGAAGAACCAAGGCACCTTGAGGAGAGCTAAACAGCCATGGAAAACCCAATGTTGTTTTGGGTGCTACTATGAAATAAATATATTTGTATGATTACTGCCATTAGAGGTCTCTTAAAAAGGATATTGATAGACTATCAATTCCATTTCCAACATGAGCTAAATATCCTGAATAACACTCCTTGTAAGCCAATTACAAAATGCTAGATTAAAAGATATTTAAATCTTTTAAAATGCATTGCCAATTTGGCAAGAATGAAAATAATTCCGAAAAGCCAAAAGCTGAGTGAAAACAAAGCTGGGGAGGTAAGCGAGCACTGAAATCAGCTTTGGCCCTAAGAACACGTGCCCATGTTCTTAGGGAGGGGCAGAGAGCGAGGGAGAGAAAATCCCAAGCAGACTCCATGCTGTCTGCTCAGAGCCTGACTCAGGGCTTGAACCCCAAGATCACGACCTGAGCCGAAATCAAGAGTCAGACACGTAACTAACTGAGCCATCCAGGCACCCCAGTCAGATACTGAATTGAGACTATTTACCATGTCTGATCAACTTCCAGAAGGTGGGGGGCACCTGGGTGGCTAAGTCGGTTAAGCGTCTGACTTCAGCTCAGGTCATGATCTCATGGTTCGTGGGTTTGGGCTCTGTGCTGACAACTCATAGCCTGGAGCCTACTTCAGATTCTGTGTGTCCCTCTCTCTCTGACCTTCCCCTGCTCACACTGCCTCTCTCTCAGAAATAAATGAAAACCAAAAAAATTGTTTTTAATTAAAAAAAAATTCCAGAAGGAGAAATAAATACAATGGAACAGAGGCATTATTTGAAATGTTTTCCAGAATTGCTGAAAGATGCAAATCCTTTATTCAGGAAGTCAAATGAATCCCAGGTAGGATAAATTCAAAGAATCACCATGTAGGTACATTGAAGTGATTCTGCCATAGAAAATACACAAAAGATGATCCTAAAAGCAGTTTGTGGAGAAAGACAGATTACCTACAAAGGAAAGACATTAATGGCCGACCTCTCTAAAGCAACAATAGAAATTAGAAGACATTGAAATAATATCTTCAATGTGTTGAGGAAATAATTGGAAATATGAAATTTCTACCCCAGCAAAATTATCCTTCTCAAGAATGAGTGCAAATTAGGAGCATTTGCCACTAATAGGAATTCACTGAGGAAAATTCCAAAGAACTTAACTCAAGCATAAAAGAAATGATCTTCAATAAAAGTCTGAAAGGCAGTAGGACTGATGGACAAGACATATTAACTCTGTGGTCAACATTTTTTGGGTTTTTTTGTTTGTTTGTTTTTTTAATTTTTTTTTAATGTTTTATTTATTTCTAGGAGAGAGAGAGACAGCATGAGCAGGGGAGGGTCAGAGAGAGAGGGAGATACAGACTCCGAAATAGGCTCCAGGCTCAGAGCTGGCAGTCAGCACAGAGCCCGACGCGGGGCTCGAACCCACGAACCGCGAGATCATGACCTAAGCGAAAGTCGGACGCTTAACCGACTAAGCCACCCAGGTGCCCCTGTGGTCAACGTTTTTAATGAGTGCATAACACAATAACCGTTTCTGATGTATGGTGTTTACGACACAATTCAAACTAACATACCAGAGAATAACTATATAAATGGAGAGGGGAGTGGCGGTGAACGTGTAAGTATTACAAGAACTTTCACACCCACGAGGGTAGTTGTAGGAATTTAAAGCACGTGAAAATGAGTGTTGCTGAGGATGTGGAAGAATTAGAACACTCATACATTTCTGGTGGGAATGGGAAGTGGGATAGCCTCTTTGGAAAGCAGTCTGGCAGTTACTCAGAAGTTAGGCATAGTGTACCACATGACCCAGCAATTCCGATTCCAGGCGTATACCCAAGAGAATTGAAAACATGTTTGCACAAAAATGTGTGTACAAATGTTCACAGAAACATCGTTTATAACAGCCAAAAGCGGAAACAACACCATCGACTGGTGAGTGGGTTACCACATTTGGATTTACACGGGGATCGGAAGCTGACAAACGAGATGCTAGCCCTCACACTGCCCCTCCTCCCCGTTCTGGCCTTTGTTATGGGGACCAAGTTTACTTCTCTTACTACCTTTACTCTAAGGTGCATGTTTTTCCCTGGTGATGCCTCAGCTTCTCACAAAAACAGATTCCTAGTAGGTCCACTGGACAGTCCAGCAGACATGTTCAGCTGTATGTGAGTCCCCATAGTGGACAGAGCAGAGACCTGAGCTGGGACATCTTCCTTCCCTCCCTCTCTCTCTCTCCTACTCCTCCTTTCTGTGTCTCTCCTTTCACACACATACACATACAACATTCATTTGCTCAACTATTTGGCAGGCACTGCTCTAAGCACTTAGACCCGTGACAAAATAGACAATGTATCAGTCTTCTGGACATTTTAGGAAATGGCAAGTGCTATGAACAGGCGCTGTGACAGACAGTGACTATGGATACTTTATATGGGTTAAGGACAGCCTTTCTTTCTATTTAAATTTCAATTAGTTAACATGTAGTATAATATTAGTTTCAGGTGTACAATTGGTTTTTGGTTTTGGTTTTTTTTTTTTAATTCCATACATCATCTGATGCTCATCACAAGTGCACTTCTTAATCCCCATCTAGTTAACTGTTTTTTTGTTTTGTTTTTTGTTTTTTGTTGTTTTAGAGAGAGTGAGCAGGGGAGAGGGGCAGAGGGGCAGAGGGAGAGAATCTTTCACCTACTTTTAACTTTTTGAGGAATTTCCATACTGTTTTCCAAAGTGGCTATAACAGTTCATAAATAACATGTAAAACTCAACCCCCCCAAAAAAAAAACCCAAATAATCCAGTTAAAAAATGGACAGAAGACATGAATAGACATTTTTCAAGGATGGCATCCAGATGGCTGACAGACACATGAAAAGATGCTCAACATCACTTGTCGTCAGGGAAATACATATCAAAACCACACTGAGATACCACCTCACACCTGTCAGAATGGCTAAACTTAAGAACACAGGAAACAACAGTTGTTGGCAAAGACACAGAGAAAGGGGAACCCTCTTAAAACTGTTGATAGGAAAGCAAACTTGTGCAGACACTATAGAAGATCTTTTTTTTTCTAAGATTTATTTATTTTGAGAGAGAATGTACATGTGAATGGCAGAGGGGCAGAGAGCGAATCCCAAGCAGGCTCTGCATAGTCAGTGGAGAGCCCGACTTGGGGCTCCAGCTCACGAACCGTGAGATCATGACCCGAGCAGAAATCAAGAGCCGGACACTTAGCTGACTGAGCCGCCCAGGTGCCCCTAAGGAAGGTCTTTCTGATGAGGTAAACATTCAGCTCGGCTAAAGGACAAGGGATACTCAGCTGTGCAGAAGCCTGACATTTAAGCATTCCATACCAGAAAGCAGCAGTGAACACGTTATATCTTATATATTATATGCTGTATCTGAGAGCTTCCCTCACCCCTAAAGGTGGAAGAAGTGGGATTTTACACAGAACCCACGTGGAATGTTGGAGTCCACCCTGAGCGACACCCCATACGGGTGACCCCACTCACAGGGCCCTCAGCTGTAGGGATGATCCGCAGATCCCTCTTGGGGCACAACCATATTTCCAACCTACTGCACACTCCAATGGGGCCTCTGGGCATATGGTTTTCAGGGTTTCTAACCTCACTCCACAGGGAGGGGAACTTGGGGAAATCCTGGCCTAGGTGCAGAGTCGCAGAGAGGAAGAGGCAGCGGGGAGCCCTCCTCCCTTGTTTTCAGGGAATTCCAGGTTCTGCATCTCTAAGCTCTGGAAGACGAAGAGCAGAAATTTCTCCAATCCCTGGAGGGCGTTCTGATAGAGCAGGAGCATAAAACCTGGACTCCCCAAGATGACTAAGGGACTCTGGTGCCCCCGCGAGGGTCAGAGGGGCTAGCGGTCACCACTGGCTGGGCCTCCTCTCAGGCAGCCTCACTGATTGTTTCAGGGCCTCCCTAATGCGTCTCCGCGATCTCTGCATCACCACCCTCCACCGTAGGCTTCCCAAGAGACACAGGCCTCCCTGCTGTGTTTTGAGTGAGCATTGGAGTGAGGACTCTTTGCCTTCTGGATTCTTCCTGGGCTCATTCCTCCAGATTGTCTTTGCTCGTCTTCTTTTGCTCATGAGGATTCCTTTCATTTCCTCTCCATCTCTT